AGCCAGAGAGTGGGCTCAACCCAGGCATTTAGAGTTTCCGATGCTCCATACGTGATTACAGTATGCAGACGGTTCCAAAACAAGCCTCTTAATTTATTAGCCGACTTAGTGAAAGAATAATTGGTCCTCTCGAAATCAGTACTTCTCACACCTTCACTTGCAATGGCATTATCTGAAGGTCTTAATAAATTGCATTTCTGATTTGGTGGGTCTGGGTGGGCCCTGGGATGATGCACTTCTGACAAGCCCCCAAGCAAGGTGAGGCTGCTGGTCACTTCCTAAGGGTTGGTGAGCCCTTACGTGTTCATGGCACTTTTCAGTTCGTCCCAGTAGGACCTTGATCTCCAGATTTTAACATTTTAAGACCATCGTCATTGAATATAATAGATGCTGCCCCTCTTTTAAAAACAGAACTGAAAATCTCTCATTGCTTGTGTAGGCAGTCTTTGTTAAGGTAAAGATGAAACAATAACCTCTATACTAATTCAAAATAATGATTCAGGTCCTTTAAAGTGGTCATAAAAATCCTGCACAGCTGACTGAATAAGAGACCTTGCGGGTCACGTAATTGAAGGATATTGGTCTTCGGAGTCAGCCACCCAAGAGTCTCACTTTGTGACCTTGGAAGTGACTTAACGTCTCTGAGTCATTGTTTTCCTCTGTAAATTGTCAGTAGTAGAGATTACTTCCCCCGGCTGCTATGAAGAGAGGTGAACCAAGAAATACAAAATGCCCATCAGTCCGTTGACCTCTGAGTATGCCTAAAGAGAGGTTTAAAAATAAAATAAAGTAAACTTTAAAAGAGGCATTGTAGCCTCTACGTATGTGACATCCTCACTAAAATCTTTTTTATTGTGTGAAGATTCAGAAAGAGCCTCTTCTTTTTAATCCTCCAACTCATCTTTTTCTCACTCCTTCCAACATCAAGGGCAACCTTAGGGAAAAGAGACCTCAGAAGGAGAGGTTGAGGCTGAAATTTGAAAGGAAACTGGTACTACTTTGGCTTACTGATGAGAGATTAGAATATGTGTTGAAGAGATTTTCTTTTTTAGCTCCCTCTAATAAAACCATCTCTTTCTTTTCTTTCTCATTGTCTACCTGAGTCAGCCCCTGACATAAGAACTCCTTTCTAGGATGTTTGAAAGTGTTTAGGTCCTTTGAGACCCATTGGTTAGGCGACAAACTGGGAAGTAAAGTACAGATATGGGTTAAGAATCGTCAAAGGAAAGGCACTGCAAAATTCAAAAGGAACGACCATCTTTTTCCACTAAATGAATTGAGCTTTCTTAACCAAATGCTTTTTTCTAGAAATGGAACCAAAATGTATTTCCATAAAAATTTTAGCCATCCTAAGAAACTATTTAACATCTTAATGCTATCATACGATTAGTAACTGCTTTGCTCATTTACAGAAAACATAATTTTTATAGTAGATTCTTTACAGTGATGTAAAAAAAAATCAAGTGAGAAATTCTTGCCTTCTTCATAATAATTATAGTAGTTGAAAACTGTGTGACACTGTTTTTCTTTTTGTTCTTTATCCGTGCAATAATAGTGCAGGAGTTGTTGGATGAAGGGCTGCGTCTACCCGACTACTCCAGTCTTGTCCTGGTTAACCCCGTCAATTTAAAGGAATAGTATCAGCTCTCTCTGACCGCTTCCCACTGGTCAAGAGAACCAAAGTACAGCCAGCATGAATCTATGTTCTCAGGGAGAGGGAGTCCTTGTGACAGTGCACAGGCCCTGTGGATGTGGGGTCCGTGCGGCAGTGGGCGTGAACTGGAGGGCTGGTAAGGGCCCTTCAATCCTTGAGCTTCCATTTCCACTGCATAACTGTAAGGAACAGAGAGGAGGCTACTTCTGTTGATCATCAGGCTATAGGAACTGGGTGCTTCACGAGATCGGCTCCATCTCATGTGACATCTGCAGTGACAGGAGAAGTGATGACAGTCTCTTTCATGCATTAGGCTCTAGAAAGTGAGCAAAAAACATCCCAAATATATGATCCTTTAAAACTTACATAGGTTAATTTCACCTTCTCTACATTTGCCAGGGGGAGACAGAGTTCTCTCCCGAAGCAAAAGGTGAGTAAGTATTACCAGTCTGTTCTGACTTTTGCCTCTCTTGATTCAGAGGGCTAATGCATAATAATTGACTTTATCTTGCCTCTTTAAATTGACTGAATGGTCCTTTAATAATCAAGTTTCTTATTAATAGCTTTACTGTGCAAGAGGAGCAAAATCAATATATAATTTAATGGCTCCTCCTGTCAGGGGCACTATTGATTGTATTACTAATGATTTTGAAATAACGTGCCATTATGCAAATCCCATCTATTTTAGGTGCCTTTGCCAGGCATCTACAGAGGTACTGTTTTCCTTCATAGTTGATTTTCCAGTGTCACAGTCGTCAAATACTGAAACATTTTCTAAGGATTATGATCCCAGTGAGTACTGATACTCTACTAGTAAATGATAAGCATTTATTTTATCACACAAACAAATTGGACAGGACCCTATTTTTTCTCACATGCATTAGCTATTCAGACTATAGAAAATAAACCTATCACAGCAATAGAGGATTAAATTCACCAAGGATAAACAACAATACGTTATTTGGATTTTTCTATCTATTTGTGAATAAGTGGTCATGTTGCCCTTTGGGAATGACACTGGGAGCCTTTCCTAAAGAAATGCTTGCCCTGTTAGCAAGATCATGCCAACCATCTCCACTGTGTTTTCTTTAATCCTGCAATCTAATAAAGTACATGATGAGATGGGGGGTGAGCTGGGGGTGCAAGATGGAGAAAGATAAGCTAAATGTTTTTAAGTAATATAAGCAGGAGCATTGTAAAATGACACCCAGTCTAATGAACGCTGCCATAAAGTGCCTTGATAATGAATTTGGGACCATTAGGTCCCGAAGACTGTAGCGGGTCCCTTCTAATGGCCATCAGCATTTTCTCTGCCCTGATCAGATGATGCTGATTGCTTTAGCAGAGATGCATAAGTAGAGTTTATAATTACAAGGCAGTAAGATGGAAATGAATACCTAAAATGCATAAGTTGGATGACAAAGAGGGTAGATGTTTGGCAGGTTTTTGAAGAGTAAATTTGACCTCACTTACCAAGTTCGGTTCTGAAATTAAAAGCATATGTATCATCATTTCTTAACATCTTCTTGTGTTTTCTCTAATATGTAGTATTTTTTGGATATTGAGGAATGATCAGATACCCCGGTGTAGTCAGAGCAGGCTGGAGTCATGCTATACATATATATATTTATATATATATAATATATAAAGATTTATATAAAATATAAATAGGTCAGTTCCAGAAAACAGTTCTAGAAATTAGACAGGAACTGTCCACTGAAAAAATGTGGTTGAATTTTGTCACATTGTTGGTAGTTTTGTAAATATCTAACTAGTCTTAAAAAATGGTTATTGCTTTAGTCATTTACAGCCGTTCATCCAACCTTAGTATTTTAGTCTTCGAGGACACAGCTCAGATAGAAAAGGTACTGTCATGCGCTGCAACGCCTGAGTAGTGAGAAATTGGAATGTGAGCCTTCTGGGCGATGTTCTTTAGCCAAGGAGCAGGGAGGAGGTCATGAGACTCCCAAGGACTGGAAGCAATCATTTGATTTCACTTAGCGCTGGGGGCTGGGAAATTCAGATTATTAAAAGCAACTTCTGTCTTTATTCTCCTTCGTATGAGAAGAGAAGACTGATGCTACTTGGTAGGCATAGGTCTAAATGAAACTTGAAACTTAATGGCTTAGGTCAATAATTTTTTAAAAAAAGATTATAAACTAATTTCCTTCTAGAAGACCTAGAAAATTCCACCCAAACTAAATAATGTCCATGACATTAAAACTCTTTGTCTATATAAACTTACTGTTTCAAAACCTTTCATCATAAATGTTCTTGGCTAATGTTACTGAAAAAAATTTTTTCAAGTACAAACAAGTGTTTGGGGGCTCTGAGTAAACTGTAATACATGAAGTGATTAAGCCCTTTATAATTAGAAGGTAACATTAGATTTATTTGCAGAGTCATCGAGGCTTATGGGGAGTTGAGATTTGCATAATATTTGCATTCATCCTACCTACCTGCCCATCAGTCACTCGCAACCAGAGGACACTAAGGCAAGAAGTACTACAGGATGGATTGCAGGAAGAATTTGTAATGAAACGCCTCAGTGTGTTAGTGGAGTTTGAAAATAGTGTAAATGGTGTATTTTGTCAAAGCTGAAACTCAACATTGGGAGGGAAGAAAATAACCAGAACATCATGCCTCCCCACCCCCACCTTGGGAGCCCTCGGCTTCTGTCTTTAGAAAGACAGACAAAACAAGAAGGGCTTGTGATCTAGGTGGAAAATCTGACTCACCTGAAAAAGAGTTTGATTCTAGGACATTGGGAGGGGTAAGAGAAAAGGCTTTTATTTTACTTTGTGATGCTCTTATACATGTATTATTTGAATGAAATTGTATGATAAAAATGTTACATTTGGAAATACAGATATGCAGAGAGAAAGCCAAAAAAAAAAAAAGACCCAGATGCCTATTACTCAGAGATAAACCTCTGTTCCTATTTTGATGTAATTTACTGATTTGTTTCAAAGGAGTGAGTTTCAGAGCACAGCTCAGACAATCCTATGGTGAAGGCATTTACTAAATCAATGTATTTTTCTCTTATTATTGTGATCTGTGTTTTTCTCCTTCTTGTGGTGATGATAAACCCATTTGTATGAGTGCTATATTTTGGCTGAAATAATTCTGTGGTGCTGGGCAGGGGAGCTGTGCATCGGGTGACCTCGCCAGTCTCGCAGACCCATCCCACACCCCTTCTGGAAGGACAGTCTCACAGCACAGACGCTGCTCGGTTGCCGTTCGTCTGGAAGTGCAGCTCGTTAACCTTGCTCTCCTCTTCTCGTCATTCCTTCTCTCCTCTTTCCTCTTCCCCTTGTTCGTCAATTTCTATTCTTCTCTGTTTCAGCAAAACAATATCAGTCAAGGTAATTGATGATGAGGAGTATGAGAAAAACAAGACCTTCTTCCTTGAGATTGGAGAGCCCCGCCTGGTGGAGATGAGTGAGAAGAAAGGTGGGGGAGCTGCTCCAGGGTTGAGCCCAACAGCTTCTGCTGGCCTGTGCCACCCCTGGATGCCTGCACTCTTCAGAATGTGACTTACAAAGCACACATCCCTCTGCCTATGTAACAGGGCATAGCTCTCTGCTGGGGCCACAGTGGACCCGGCCTACAGCTCCATCAGCCATCAGTTTTGGCCACTCTTCACATTACAGTCTGAGATATTAATCAGATATTAATCAAGTCTCCATTTCTGGGAAAGTTGGTGCTGATGCTTGCTACACCCAAATAAAGCCAGCTTTCTTTTTTCTCTTCACAATTTGGGGCACCTCCCGCCTGTTCCTTGAAGCAGGAAGAATTGGTGAAAGCGATGAATGAACAAAGAAAACTCAGCAAGGGCCAGCTGAGAGCACCCAGATGCCCTTTTACATACTTCCGGGGGCCCATGTGTGGCCAGTTCTCCCTCCATAACATCACAGTAACATTCTGCCTGGTGAACACCTAGCATGAGCGTGTGACTCCAACCATTTGTTTTGCCTTTGTCTTGTGTTCCCACAGGAAGATCATTACCATTAGAATATATGACCGTGAGGAATATGAGAAAGAGTGCAGTTTCTCCCTTGTGCTTGAGGAACCAAAATGGATAAGAAGAGGAATGAAAGGTGTGAGAGTATACAAAGACATACCAGCGAGAAATTGTACTCTTCTCTCTCCGTGTCTCCCTACTCTCACACTTAACTCTCTCCTCTTCCTCGGCTTCCAAGAACTATACTTCATCTCCTTTGAAGCTTTAGCAATTTCATTTCCCTTCCCTGATTCCCAAGTGCACCAGGCAATGCCCATTTTCTTCAGGAAATGCCAGCTTACCTTGATTGAAACCAGATTTCATAAACACTGGAAGAGATTTCTGTAATTCAGAAGTGATGATGTCAGAGAAGGCTTTATGTGTTTAGGTTGTCACTATTCAGGAATCATTCTAAAATTTGGTTCCAGCTGTTAGATATCTCCTAGAATGGTAGAGATAAAGTCTACATAATACCTGTTAGTCATGGTGGATGAGTCTCATGGAAACTAATAGGAAATTCAGAAGAACTCAATAATTAGGTTTCCTTAGAGAAGCCAGCTTTCAAAACAAAAATACTTAATAAGAACAAAGATTCTTAAAGAGTCGTATTATCGATATCCTAATGTTCATTTTGGCATAGTTTTCAATTTTCATATCATCAGATATGACATTTAAAAGGGACCATATGTCTGAAACCACAACCACACCGATTTTCTTTAGTAGGAAGGCTATGGTAGTTCAGTAAGAACTGAGCCCTTCCTTCAAGCCTATCCAACCTTATGCTTCAAAATCTTTTGAGTCTTGTAGAATTGACAAATTTCTAACATATAGAGAAAAAAAAAAGAAACAGCAGTATCCTTATAATTAGATTTTTTTGGTTGATTTGTATTTATATTTTTAGAAAATATTTAAAGAAGCCAGTTTGGGGTTTTTTTTCACTTTCTTTGATTTTATATCTATTTTATATGGCTTATATATTTGAGAAAGAAGGACAGGAATTTTATACCAGCTTTAAAAATAGTTTTTTTTAAAATTCTGAATTATTGTGAGGGCTTCCTATAATTATCCATTAACAGTGGCCTTTTTCAAAGCAATACCGTACATTTACATATGTATGTAAATGAGCACAGTATGTATTAATTGCTCTTGCAGTTGTTAATTGTATAAAACAATTGACGAGAGGCAGTGTACATGATGAGATAACCACTTTGCAAGAAATGTGTACATGTAAAGAAAAACATCAAACACAAAGGACTAATTGCTATATGGGCCCAACATTTGGGGGAATTTAACTAATCCCACTTTTGGAAAAATTCAGTGGCCTCAGAGTCCTTTGGGAAAAAAAACAAAAACAAAAACAAAGTATATGTCCCCAGCTTTCATCATGCTCAGAATGCTAGCAGGAGCCTTTGGAATGATGGAGAAAGAAGCACGGGGGACCCCTTTCAAGGCAGTCTTATTTAACATGCTCCATAGGCAGCAGGTGAAAGGGAAGGACACTTTAGAAAACTGTGCTGATTTCTTACAAAGACGGGTCAAAAATTCCTCATTAACATACAGGAAAAAGCACTTACTTCTAAATGTATTCCTCTAAAGAACTGCCTTTCCTCTCAAGGAAGAGCATCTTGGGTACAGCTCTTTCAATTGTCATTTTAGTAAAATATGCCTTCTCTTAAAAGCAAATTTAAATTCCTTGAGCACACTATCTGCTTCCTCACCTGCCAAGTGGATCCTTGTCACTATAAATAAGATTACTGATTTGTTTTAGGAAGTATCCACTAATGCCACTACCATTAGAGAGAAAAGTGGGCCTGAAAAAGTAATTGTATCATTCCCATCCACAACTCTGGAAGTTATTTATTTGATACATTTACACAGGTAGCTTTCACCAAAAGAAAGTGCTACCCCTTAATCGGGGTTTAAAGCATGTAATCTGAAAAACAAACTATTATCTGTTGCACACCCCCAACCCCCGCCCTGCACCCCCAATGCCTCCCCTCCCTACCTTGTCAGTTTCCATGGAATTATATGTCTACAAGAAGCATTCTGGTTGTCCATTTATAAAGGGCAGAAGTCACACTGGGAATTCCTGGCACTCAAGTTTTGAGGATTTTTAAAGTGTAAGCATTCTTTGATGGCCAAAGTATCATGCAAGTAGAACCTCCAATAAGAGAGTTTCCCCTTGGGCGGCCAAAGTGGAATTTCCTAAGATGTTTTCTCTGTTTTCCTTGAATGAAAAGTACAGTACCAGAGATCGTGAATGATTTGAGACTTCCATGTGATGAATTAACTAATAACTCCCAGGCACTATTTCAAGAGGAAGACTCACTCGAATAAAGTTTAGGATTAACTTCCTAAAATGTTTCTACTATATTTGGTAAGCTAGATACATACGTTGTGTATAAACATGAAGTAGAAATGTTCTCTTAAATGTCAAGAAATACTATACGAAGTGAATTGTTTATGTATCCAACCAATCGCACACATCTGCAGAAATTAGTGCTGGGATTATTTGGAAATTTTCCCGCTGCCACGTTTACTTGGCGTGCACCAATTTTTTTAGCAGCAGCTCCCCACTAGTGTAATCAGATCTGCCTGGATTTCTTTCTGCTGATATTCCTCTTACTTTCATTATTCATCTGGTCTCTTATTCTGTGTTTGTCTTTGTCTGTTTCCTTCACAGCCCTGTTATTGAATGAGCTTGGTAAGCATTTCATTTCTTGCATTTCCTTGCCATTTTTCTAGTTTATTTTCCATTTCTGTCAGGTGATATAATAGCTTTCTGACTTTTATTTCTATTGATTTATTAGCAAGCTTGTTTAGCACCATTGGCCTCATAATTTTGTAAAGGTCAGAGAGTTCATATTCCACGATTAGTTTAGTATAAGCTTTTTAAAAATCAGTGATTTCTTAGATGTGTACAATAACTAAATTTGTGCACTAAACTTCATAATCTTAAAAAAATGATTAGTGTTTAAAGCATACGTGGGTGTTTTCACATTTTTCTTAATTGTAAATATAATTTGGCAAGTTTTTGTACCTTGGGTGGGTTGTCAGGCAATCTGATGTCAGTGGTATTTACTTAGAGTATAAATTAAATAAATTGTAACATTTATTTTTTTTCTTTTCTAGGTGGCTTCACAATAACAGGTATGAACTTTTAAAGTCTCATGTATCAAATTTTATTTCTTACTGTCTGTTCTCACCATGTTTTGTTTATCTTTTTATAAATTTATTTCTCATTTTTATTTGCTTTTAATGAAGGAAAATACTTGTATGGTAAGACAATTGTTTTTTTAATGTTCCTCATCTTCCCCCAAATACCCTTCAATATCAAACAAAAACCACATCCTTTGTAACTTGTATTAACATTTAGCTGTGGCACATGGCGTGCTCTTGCTGATTCTACACATTTAACATTTTACACATTAACAGTGTGCGTGTTGTGTTTATTTATGAGCAAATTTGTATGGAGAACCTGTAATTATTCACATTTTGATACTGATCAGTTTACAAATGTTCACATAGCGCTGAAGATGGGCAGTGTACCTTGCTCAATGTTCCTGAGAGCACCAGAATAAATGGAACCATTGCTGAGCTCAAGGAAACACAGCAGTTGACAGCCAAGCCTGCTCCAAGGCCCAGGCTCAGAATCCTAATTGTATATAATGCCCTGATGGGAGCGGACAAAGCGTGCCTTGCCCTCATCCCACCACACCAATCTGAGAAGTGTTAGCATTCGTAACACGGTCATGAATAACATGTCTGCCATGTGAAGCACATTACAGAGTACTCTGTAAAAACTCAAAATGCCAGTCAAGAAGTTTAAAAGTCTTAAATTCAGAACGGTACCCAGCTACCGTTGTTTGCTTTTTTAGCACAACTCTAAAGTTATTTCCTTGTGTGCAGAAGGAAGACATTTCCTTACAGCATCATCTCCTTGACCCTATTTTCTTACCCTTTCAGAATCCTCTATGTAGATTTAGAGAGGGAGATAAACTTTAAAGGGAAGGTCTGATTTGTCTGAAGCTGCAGGTTGAGGATGTCTCTGAAAGGCCATCCTAATGGCCATAGCATTTTCCAATATAATTATACAGATATCCATAGTCTAATTATTTTGCCTGAAATCAGATGGTGGAATAAGAATATTTAGAAAAGAAATATTTTAAAAAATTCTAATTTTGAAAATGTTATGGTGGGAGATGGGGTTGACTTAAACAACCTTTAATGTAAGCTCATGATCAAGTAGTTCCAACATGATTCTGTCCCAAGTGGAACTTTCTGAATACGTGCAATTTCACGTGGGCCATCACGCTCCACTGCTTCTCTTTGGACACTGCATTTAATGGCAAAATGATTCATAGGCTCTTGGAGACATGGAAATTGAAGGATAAAAAAGTTACAGAGGACAAGTCCTCATAGAGGATTTCTTAACCCTGATTCACTGACGCTCTCCCAGGTCAAGTCTCTCCAGTTCTGCACCGCCAAAGAAGCTATTTTTGAATCCTAGTGCAGGAATTTACATTTATTTTTAAAACTTATCTCCTCCTTTTTTTTTTATCCCATCATTTTAATTTATTGGCATCTCTTTGGAAATGTTGTGATTCTATCACCCAATAAGTTAATTAACCTTGTGCGCTTTGAGGAAGGTAGGAATTTGGCAAGCCAGCCTTCATGGCTTCCTTGAAGTAATTTTTTAAAATTTTTTAAAAGGAAAAAAGGGAATCATTGTAGGAATAGGACAATGTCTACAGATTCTTCAGCCCTGTGGAGCCTGATAATGAGACCTTAACTTAGAGTCTTTGGCTGCAGAATGCCTTGTTAAAATGCATGGCTGTGTTTGGATATCTTTCTTTCTTATCACTGAATATGTCAGGATTCCTTTGTTAGGGCCTTCTTTCCATATCACTTGAAGCATCTTCCCTTTCAGTAGCTAGGCAGTGGGATCCTAGTCTTCTTTCCTCAGAGATTGTTCATTTCAAGTTCTAGAACACCTGTCCAGTAATGTCCAGCCTTTCCTGTCTTGGACACATGACGCATCCAAGAGGACAGCCTCCCTTCTTCCAAAGGTTTTCTATCATTTCATGTACTTCATTAAGTTCTTTCTTATGACTCGAACTTTAGTCTCCAATAGCAACTATCTTGTTGTTACCACCTCTTCCCAAAGTTTGAAATTGATGCAGTTAAAATGAGAGAATGTTGCAGAACTCTCTAGGAACCTCTCCACTGGCTTCTCCACTTCTGAACTAGGCCAGAATGCCTGGGATCCGCCCTCTATAGACGCCTCTGGGAAGTGTCCGAAAATTCAGGTCTACACTGTGAAAAGCAGCTGTAAGCTCTAAAGAACTTTTCTTTGAAGTCAGTTTGAGGCTTTGAAGTCCAGGCTTTGAAATACAGGGGCCGTAGAGAAGAGTTAATCAAGCTCTTGGACTTTGTCTGCAGCTTGTACGTGGTCTTGTGCAGCTGAGTGTGAAAATCTAAATTTGAAGCAGGATATATGGAAACTGAAAAAGTCATTTGGTCCACAACCCAATACCTATATTTCAGAGATCTCATTAGTGATGAACATTAAATACTAAAGGTGCTTTTGGAATTTGCCGATCTTAACCTGTTGCTCCTAGACTTTATCTCAGTGAAAGGCCCCTGTTGGGACCTGTGATGTAATTCCCCCTTGACCCTCCAGGCACATAACATGATAACCCCTATACATTATAGCTTCTTAGAGTTTGTAAAGCATTTCTTATTCATTATATCATTTAATCCTCAACCTTATGGAATAAGATTTTAGTGTTCTCACTTACAAGAGAGAAAACAAAGGTTCAAAGAGATAAATCACTCTACTCCAAATCACCCATCCAGCACTTAGAGCCTGGGCCTCTGACTTTAAGTCCAACGCCACGTAATTACTGTTTGATCCCAGCACTTTTAGTTCCCCCAACTCCTTCATTCCTACCTTCATGTTAATCCTTTTTAATCCAAAGTCCCATTATGTCTCTTAAATGCCAACAGTATGAATTCTAGTCAAATGAAAAATGAGGGGGACCCCAAAGTGGGAGAAATAGATTACCTGAATTTGGATATTTTTAATAAAGTTAAGTATTCTGGTTCAATTTGGAGAGAAAGAGGCACATTTGATTCCCAAAACAGACTGCTCAAGAGTTTCCTGATTAATTAAAAGTATGTAACAATCAATATGCCTCTTTAAAAGTCACTCTTCCAATCATATTGTACTCATTGCTCAATAGACTCCATAAAGCACTTGGCTTTTTCAGGAAGCTGAGCTCTGAAAATTCTGACAGTTAGAAACACTTTAGTAACTCCAGTACATAGGTCAGAGGAACAAATCCCCTTCAAGTTCAGTTTCAGTTTACAACTGAGAAAACTGAATCCAAGAGAACAGAAATGCTGTGTGCAAGTTTAGATGGCAGACATTTGGCAGAGTTGGCACCAAGTCCCAATCTCATGATTGGTCCATTCTGGGAGCTCTCGGTAACAAGCAACAGTAAGCAGATCTGGCAGTCAGTTGAAGCAGGAGTTTAATGAAAATCCTAGACCTAGGTAATCCATCCAAGGTGCAACAATGGTGTATCCTTGCAAAGCCTGCCAGTGCGTGCAACGTTCTCTCATTCAGACTGCCCAGGAAATAAATAAGCATGTTCCCAGACATTATGTTACTTGACCCTGATACAAACCTGTGATATGGACAGAGCAGGTACTATTATCTCTATTCCACACGTGGGAAACCTGGGGAAATGGCCTGCTCAAGGCTATGTTGTTGGCACCAATAGGCTTCCAAAGTGGAGCACAGGGTTAGAGCTAAAGGAACAGATCTAATATGGAATCAGATTTGCTCATCCCTATTACAGTCACACCAAGCGCTTTCCGTCTCATGATGCCTCTGGAAGTAGTAACTTGAAGCACAGATACTCCATTTCCGATACCAGCAGGAATCTGGCTGCACTGCCTGCTGTGGGGTGTGAGGTTCCTTCACACCATCTGGTTTGGCTCGTAGGACACTTGCCCCATTTCCTGCTTCACTTCTGAGACCTACATAACAGTGATCTATGACCACTCAGTCCCTGAACTAACATTGCTCATGCCATGTGCATCTGGGTGTGACTTTTAGCTTACTAATTCCACAAGCTCTGCTTGCAAACCAGTGCAATTCATTCTGCTGATTTTCTGCCTGTCCTTTTGCTAGGCCAGCCTGTCTTCCGGAAGGTTCATGCTAGAGAACGTCCGATTCCCTCCTCTATAATCACCATTGCAGGTACTCGTCTCCTCACAGCCCTTGGAAACCACAGCTTAAGAAACTTAAGGTGTACTTAAGGTTAACTGCCTTTGAGCGTTCTTTCTTCTTTAGGTCTTTAGACATTAAAGTGGCATAATTCAGCCCCTGTTCCCTCTTGAACATTGCTACATGATGCAGTGGCTTCTTTGTAGTCGGGGAATGGTGGATTGGCAATAAAGCACAACCACGCCAGCCCAGGACAGGAGGCACGGTGGAGGAAGCGGCACGGACCTGCAGAGGAGGCTGAGCCCAGTGGTCTCTCAAGTTTCAGTGTGTTCTGGATTTCTTGCAAATCTTGCTTCTCAAGCATGAGTTTTTCCAAATATAATGAAGTTCCTTTAAAAGCAAGCTGTCTTCCTCCCAAGAACCTGCCTTTCCTGCCTCCAGGCAACATGCTGTTAGCCAAATACACACAGATGATAGTACATCTGCAGAGTTTCTCCAGAGCGGAGCATTGACAGGGGACTAACGGGTTACAGAACTACCCCAGATGGATTGTCAGAATAGACCCGATGTGAGCTCCTTGCACCACATCACTGAACCTCTGGATAAGGACAGGAAGACCCAATCCTTAGTCCTCACCATCACCCATCACTGGCCACGGCGACAGAAGCACTTCTGCCTGCCCCAGTGAGACCTTCCTCGTTCTCACATCCCACAGCCCCATTCAAATACCATGCAGCCCTAACTGCAGAGTTGCTCCAGAATATTCCTCGTGGAAATAAAAGTACCAGTCTCTTTAGATTCTCATCAGAGAGGCCTCTCTGTTGAAAACTCTCAAGCAATCTGTGCTCTCAGACTTGTCAGCCCAGATCTGAGTGAAGGATTAAAATAACCTTCAGAAAATTGTTCCACCACTGGCCTTGGACCCCTTTCCAAGTTCTGTGTTGTTTGTTGGGATGAAAAATTGCAAATGCATTCACGAATATCCACAGGAGCTCCTCGGGTGCAGACCTCCACGTGGCTGGTTCTGTTTTCTAATAAGGATTCCCACTCTCAGCCCTTCCCCTCTTACAGCGATGCTGCTTCAAAATGCAGCCTGAGCCAGAAAGCATCAACAGCAGCTTTGTCAGAATTCTGCTTTTCCCCAATCCCAGGTACCTGTTAGCTTTTGTGGTGTGTCATCTGCAGAATCAGTTACTCAGGAGAAGGGAGGTCCCCTACCAGAGGTTTCAGCACAAGACTGTGTTCTGTCCTGTCAATGCTGATTTTAGCAGTGGCTATTAATTATGTGTTTGATCTTTAAGTTGTGTTGGCTGGTTAAGACCACGATGTTATGTAACATTATCAACTTCTCCATAAAATGTGGTAAATTTAAAAATATATACATGTATAGGTACCTATACAGATAGAGAATTAAATAGAGAATGTCCTCTATCTGAGAAGCAAAACTAAAAACACAGCATGTTATCACCCTGCAGAAATAAGGAAATGAACCTGACTTGACTATAATAAAATGAACTGCATCTGATCTAGCACTCAAAATGGAAAAATAATAATAGATGATCAAAAAATATACCATTAAACTATTTCCCTATTCAATAAAAAATATCTAAAGAAAAGGCACTTTAAAAAAATACTCATCTCTTCTTTGCCACTTTCAAAAATCTGTATTATAAATGCTAATTTATCAGTACCGTTATAGAGTATTATAGATAAAAGGATTTATTTAGCTGTCTTCTCTTAGTTACACCTAAGGGCAATTATCCCTTAAATGTTCACGACATTTCTAAGTGAAAATAGCCCTGACCCTACCATGCCTTTGTGCTTTGACTGCTCTCTGCCTGGAATGCCTCTCCTTACTCAAGTACCTCCTAGCCATCCTTGCTACCACCTTCTCCTGGCAAACTGCTACACATGCTTCAGGGCCAGTTTCAAGTATCTCTTCTTTCCAGAAGCCTTCCCCGACTCCCCCAGGCAGAGCGAGCTGCTCCCCGACCCTGAGCCCTCAGCTCTTCCCTTGCTGAACTAGAAGTTGCCCCATCTGTCTGCTTCCCTTCCTGCTAGACCATGAGTTCCTGGAAAAAGGGGCTGAGGTGGGTCGGTGGTGCTCAGTGTGCTGACATGCAGGAGGGCAGTGACGTGTGTTCAGTTAACCAGTGGTCTTTACAGGCATAGAGCAAATAAGAGGCTTTTCTAACCGTGAGTTGGAGAGTCACACACAAATATTTATTGAGCATCTACTACATCGCATACATTGTAATAGGCTCTGGGGAACGTGAGGATGGTCAGAGAGCAATGAGACATATTTTTCTGTCTTGGTATGTGTACATGCTGGATGTCTGTACATAAAGGTAATTTACATATAAAAAAGAATATGTTAAAAGTGTCTATGCTCAATTGTTCAATGTGTACACACAACAAATACTAAGGAATTAATTTAAGGTCAGAGTGGTCATTCCTAAACAGGTCAGTTGGGGGTTATTTCATGCAAGAAGACGTGGGGTTTTGAAAGATAAGTAGGATTTAGCTAGGTGAACATGGGGAAGGTTTCCAGATGGGTAGACAATAGGATGAAGCGTGGCATTAAGTCCAAGTCGAGTTTGGAGCAAGAGTGTAGAGTGATAGAAACAGATACCCTGCTTTTCTAGTATGAGAAACTGTTAAGACAGTAATTCCTAAATTTTGGTCATTCTCATACCTCCTTTACAGTATTTGCACTGGCTGCATACCAGCTAGACTATTATTTACCTAATGTATTTTTTTTGGAAATCGCCTCATGTTTTTACTTCACTAGATTTGTTTTTAAAAGAAAACTTTGTCACTAACACAAATGGAAAACTAGTATTACTTGTTATAAATAGAAACTAAGATTAAAAATTTGGGAAATGGAAAAAAAAGGTATTAACTTCTTGATACAGTCAAATGCTCATGCCTGAGAACTGACTTCTCTGACCTAAATGGTAGAAACCATAGTATCAGGAACCAGGTCCAGACATATCAGCACCAAACTCAGCATGTCTTCTTGGTCAGAAAGACAAGAGGATGATTAAAAAGGGAATAACCTTTTCACTCCCCGAGTGCTTTGATTTCATTTACTACCATGTCCACTTATTTAATACCATGTTCCAGATCGTTTCATTTTGTCAAATGCAGCTTTAAACCATGCCACTACATCACTTTTCTTTTGTAATTTCTTCCCCCAAATGGCTTTGTAATGCAAAAAAATTCCAAGTGGTAATAGTTCTTCTTCTGGAAAAATAATTCTTATTTGATGTAAGTCTCCCAGACATCCATGTTCAGCCAAGGCTTTGAACGAAGACGCTAATATAACCTGCTCCTATGAAAACTCTAATAACGCTGCCCTGGGTTCTAGGATCAGAAAGCAGTGGGAATCAAATACAATTGACGTGAGCACTAGATAAATGGAACGTCACGTATCTGAGCCCAGCCCCTTGACAGCACACACATACAATTTCAAGGACAAATTCTGGGGACAGCAATCAGAAACTTTTGCCTCCCTTCGGGTCATAACTTCCCAAGCTTACTATAAAAAAAAATTACAACTGTGACAGTTAAAACGCACCTAGTTGTACCTCTCTTTTGCGTCTGCTAACATTTAGCAGTTTTTGGCCAGTCCAAAAATCACTTATGTTTTGGTCTTCATCTTATTTTGGGGGGGGCCTGTAATTACTGGGGATAGGAAAGCAGATTCTGAAATATCCTTTTAGGAAGACACTCTTGAATACATACTAAAGAATTCATTGATATGCTACACCCTGCTTTTCCTCTGGTTGGGTTTGACACTCGGTATAGAAAACGCTAGCCATGCTTCTAGCCCATCTGCTCAGTGTCCTAGCCGTCAACAGCTGGCCTGGGAACCAGCTCTCTGCAACATTTGCTAGAGCGTCAGCCCCTCCCACAGAGTCCCTCTGCAGAAGGAAGCCATGTGTCTTTGGAGGGGATGGGAGGTGTGGGCTTCTGCAGCAGCTGATGCCCAAATGCAGAAGGCAAGACGTCTAGGCTAGAAGTCCCTCCCTTTCTGACCTCTCCTCAGTCAGCAGACTCCTACTGCAGGCAGTTTGCCTTGAAGTTTCTAGAAGCCAGGGTGTTGGGGCTCAGGTCTTTCTGTACCACCAATGCTACTTCCTTGGAGATGAGGCTTATTCCATTTGACTCTTAGAGGAAGTGGCCTGTCTTGGTCCAGCATCCTGGGCCCGGAGAACAGGGGGCTGAGTGATTACAGGAACAGTGTTTGTCCTTCACATGCGCATGGCCTTCTCAGAGTGGGATTTATCCTAATGACCTTCATACAGAGAGAAGCCAACTGTGAGCTTCCCCTCATTAATGGACTCTCAAGTCCATTAACATCTTCTCAGCACCCATAGCCCCTCCTGGAGTGTAAGCTACATGGTGGTTCTAGAAATAATCATGCTTCCGTGGTGAGTAGTAGCATAAAGCCCCCTAAGGCTCCACCCTTGCACTCCCCATTTACTGTAAGATTAACACGGGGAAGGTCCTCCCATCCCATCTCAGCTCTGCACCAGAGAGAGGCAGCACTGGAGTGCAGGCACCTTACTGAAATGTGGAAGGGATGTTTCACTTCTTAGCTTGCAAAAAGGGCTCTTGGCAAGTGAGCGGCTAAGATCAGAATTTCCCATCCACCATCTCTTTAGTCCTGGGGCATTTTCTGCTGCTTCTAGAAAGTGGAGAGGAGGAGGCCAACCTCCTCCATCCTTTGAGTCACTCTAGCACTTTTCATTGCCTTTCCTTTTGGTCACGTGCTAAAGGGCTGTGGCTGACTCACAGCCAGGTGAGCCAGCGTCACAGGGGACAGCTGGGTGATTCCCTCAACATAGACAACGTGCAGGCAGAGTCTTTCTCAGCGATGTGACCTGTAAGTTGCTTTTCCCCATCTGTTCTTTGGCTTGTGCGTAAGTTGGGGGACATGATGATCAGCTGCTGTCCCAGTGATGTGCTGCCCACCAGGACAGATGTCTGTCCAGTTCTCCCCTCCAGCCTGACAACACCACCCAAGGGATTTCTCATAGTTCATCCGGGCTTCCTTCCTTCTTGGTTTCCTTGTAGCAGGATCCAGGGGTTTCCAAATAACATTGAGTGCCTTCTCACTTTCCTGCCCTGCCCTTTCACAGAGGAATGTGACGACAAGCAGCCACTGACCAGCAAAGAGGAAGAGGAGAGACGCATCGCAGAGATGGGGCGCCCCATTCTGGGGGAGCACACCAGGCTGGAGGTGATCATTGAAGAATCCTATGAGTTCAAGGTACGCTCACCAAGGCTGCCCGGTAGGGGTCCAGGTCCACCTTGGGACCAAGACGGTTCATATTGTTGGTCTTCACGACATGATCCATCCGGAATGAGAGGCAGATGTAATTTCAGGAACTGGCTGATGGTTTAAGAGGCCTTCAGAGCAGAAATGGAGTCAGAGAGTTGATAGGGAATTAAGAGGTCCTGCAAACAAAACAGCATCAGAACCAGGGTCTGGTGGGTGCCATCCATCACCCTACAGGGTCACAGATGCCCGACAGTGAGGGCTTTGTCCGAGCAGGTAGCAAGGAAGAGGCAAAGGTGGATTCCAAGAGACTGTTATGCGTGGAGGAAACCAACACACTTTATTTGGAAAAGCTGTTCAATCTATTAGAAGCCAAGCATTTTCACTGCTGAAAATTAGGCTTTAGTTTTGGGGTGGGGATGGTAGGGCACTCCCTACAGAACATTGCACTAATAACTTCTCATTTATACATAGTCACCTTCTTAAGATCCTAGGACACTTTTAGCCCAGTCATCATACTAAATGTATAGGGTCCGTAACCAGAGCGTCTGTAGTTGAGCTGATAAAACTGGATTCCCAGTTCTCTAGATGATCAAAGTCATTTTTCAGAAATTAAGTACATGGGTCTTAGGGTGAGCTTAGGACTTGGAGGTGGAACTTTCTGTCCATTCTTAGCTGCTCCCTCGGCCCCTGTCCCAACTCCCATCCTATCTCACTTGCATGGTCCTAACACTCAGAAATGCCCCCAAGAGCCACACCTCAGTTCTATGTGGGGCATGAAAAAGAGCATCCTCCCTAGGGGCTTCCAGAACTACAAACCAGAGCTCAGCAGTATTTCCCCCACTTATTTTTTAAGAGCAGATTCTGTTCCTATTTTGAAACCCAGAATGAAGATGTCCACAAGGGAGACTCAGGCCCCTGACTTTGATGTGTCAAGATTGCATCCAGATTTTTCATAGTAGTGGCTTCTTTTCCTTTAGCTGAGCCCATTTGTTATTCTTTTAATTTAGCTCACAAATGAAGGTGCCTGATAGGAGACAGATGGAAAGAAACATGTCTTTTCAATTAAAACGGCATTTAAAAGATAAAAATGCAATTGAACTTTCCCCTTCAGGCCACCACGAATGCATCTGTTAACTCCTTTCACTCATGCCCATGGAAAGAAAGAGCAGGATGAACACTGGGATCAGTGCTGTCTAAGCAGACCCACCCTGACCATCAGAACACACCCGTTGTCTGATCTGGAACCTGGATCGCTGCACACATGTGACTGGCAGGTGCACAAGTTCCCTGCGATTCCTGGGGTGCAAACATATCAGGCTGTTTCTATGGACCACTCTGTTCAGATATATCCAACCTCATTCTTCCTCATATACCCTCTTTTCACCTCAGATCAGAGGGTCCAGTGCCACCTGCGGCAGCAGAGCTTCTGCAGCTCAGCATTTCTGTAAATGCTGACCCCACCCCCATCCCAGGACTCTCATGGGAAATTATCATATGCTCTCTCCCTTATGGAACAACCCCAAACTTCGCCCTTCCATGCACCCACAACCAGGAAGGGCAATCACAGTGACTTCCTGTAGGAAGCGTTGGGCTGGGGATGGTAGGGTACAGCTGTCTAGGCAGCACAGCTTTCTTGGGTCCAGAGCTCCCTCTGGTAAACACTCCAATGATCTGAGCCTTTGAAAGGCACCCAGGTCTGTCCACGTAAGTCCAGCTGTTTGGGGAACTTACCTTCCTGGAGTGACTTTCGTAGGTTCCTTGCATCTCCTCAAAGTTCATCAGGACAGTTACTGCTAACACCAAAGGGTACCTTGGGGGTCTATTTCTGAAGTGCCCTCAAGCATCAATTTTGATACTATATTATTATTTTAAGAGGTTTTTTTCTAGACCATAGCTGCTTAAAATAACTTATTCAGTGCTCCCAGAACTGCATGAAAGTCCCACATCAGGGTGACACCTCACAATATCCCGACGTGCTTTGCCCAGTGGGTTGTTGTTTACTACACTGTGACTGAGGGCTTGGCTTTTCTAACGCCCATTGCCGAGGGTGAGGTTATAAGAATTGCTTGCAGTCTAGTGCAGTGAAGAGCTGGTGACTGGCATTTTGAAAACCTCTTATCAGTATAGATGGCAATGTTCAAGTGTCTAAATTTCAAATTTAGGTCAAGAGAGGACACACATGCAAATTAAGTCCTAGGAAGAACCCAGGCTCTCTCATAATCCTCCAGGCTTAACATAAACTGTTACCAAGTCCAAACTCATTCTGCTGACCTAGCGGCAGGCCAGTAAGTCAGGAGACGAGGTGCTGGGGCAAAGGATAATGACTTTATTTGGCAAGTCGGCAGACTGAGAAGATGGGGGACTAATGTCATTGAGAACCATCTTACCAACCATTTTACTCAAGTCAGAATTCAGACTCCTTTTATACTAAAAAAGGAGGGGGGGTGTGGTCAGTTGTTTGCAAACTTCTTGGCGTTGAAATCCTTTGTTCTTGCACAAAGGTCAGGTCATGATGTCCCTGTAAACCTCCAACAAGATAAATGTTATTCTCCATTCTGCAACTTTTTTATCTCTATATAAATGGAAAAGTGTTATGCCCTTAAAGGTCAGAGTCTTGAGAATGGGCCATCCTGTCTATTTCAGGCTGTGGGCAAATTCTTTTACAAAAGGTGCAGACCCAGCGTGACTCAGCACAGGAAACAGTACAGGGTTAGAGCTAAAAGAACAGATCCAATATGGAGTCAGATATGTTCCTCCCTATTACGAAACTAAAGTTTACAATCTACCTTAGATTTTACATACATATAAATTTTACGTTTAGTTTATCTTAAAAAAATCTCTTGCGAGGGATTTTGAGGTCAGTCTGTGCTTCACTGTTAGAGCAGTTTCTCTCTTCAACTGTTTTGTCTCCCAGGGAAAGGGGTTCTCTGCCTTGGCTTCAGAATAAAGAGGGCTTCTTTGGAGAGACCTGCCCCAAGATTCCATTACCTTTAGGAAAAGTCAAGGTCATTTCTTGTTACATTCTACTCAGAACTTTGAATTGGCATCAGCCGAGACACTCAGAGTACTTGATGAGATGTGGCTGACTTGAGAGAAAGGGCAGATGTTTGTCATGTGTTTCTCGTTGGCAGCCAAGAGCAGTGACGGTCCCAACTATTATCAGGGGCACTAGCAGTTCTAGACGCAAAGTTAGAGGCTGAAAGGTCACCACCGTCAGGACGAATAATCGAGCAAAGAATGACGGCAATACAGAGTGGGCCAGTTGAATATGGGTCTTTTCATGTTTCTTATCTTCTCAGTGTTTCAAGTCAGTTCCAATGACTGTTGAACTAACACACTTGACTTTCTGATGTGGCTTTGACCTTCTGTCCAGGCCCCTCAGATCACATTTCCTGGTTAGCCGATAATGTGCTCTCTCTCTCTCTCAAAGCAAAGTCAGTTCAGGTACACTGCATTAAACATGTACCAATTTTGACCTCGGGAAAATAATACGTGTTTTCTGCCTCTTTGCACTGAGTGGGAACTCGAGGATGCCCTGACAGTAAGTGTGGATGTGCACTAGACTAGCCAACGTGGTAGTTTCTCCGGGAGGAACAGCCTCAAGTCCCGGACGTGACCCTTCTCCCTGTAGCTGCTTTGATTTGTGGTAGTGCTTTGGGTGCATCTGCTCAGTTTTCTTGTGAATGCTTGGCTGCTCCTGCTGTTCCGTTAACTGACATTTATTTAAAAAGCTAGAGAGTACTAATTGTACAGAACCAAGTGCTTAAAAAAGGTCTAAAGAAGAGGGGAGGGAAATAGTTCATTGGTAGAGCACATGCTTAGTGTGCATGAGGTCATGGGTTCACTCTCCGGTACCTCCATTAAAAAAAAAAAAAGGCCTAAAAGAAAATAACAGTAAGAGGTTTAGTGCAGGGGAAATTCAGCACACGGTAGCGGCAATGTGCCCTTAACCATACAAACTGATCTTTTCTTGTTTGCAACAGGAGTAAGGCGAGATGAATTCTGTAACGGCCACCAGGCGGACAAAATCAGTAGCCAAAGAAAGATCTATGTATTGATGATCATGTAGCAGCTATCTTGAGGCTCTGCTGTCTGGCTGCATTTCATTGATCAACAAAAGTATAATAACAGGACTTAGTTTCATAATCTATCTGCCACTTCCCGGTTATTCACAGATACATAAAGCTGAGCAGGGCATAGATTAATTCAGTTGCAGAGGGCACACTATAGACAAAGCCAGGAAAGAAACGAGCTCATGAAGCATTCGAGGGAAAGCCATGGGCTTTTGCAACACCTGCTACTCTAAGTGCTGAGGCCAGTCTTCCTTGGCCCCTAGGCAGTGGAGGAGGCTTGTATTCGTTACGAAGAAGTTTCCATTTCAGAATGTTTCCAAGTAAGGACTCTGGCTTGTTTGCATAATCCTAACAGTGTTTGATGTCAATACTGTTGTCTGAGCCTAACATCTGCTACCCTTTATATAGCTCTGGGGTTTCAAAATCCACAAGGGCTGAACTTTCCCGAGGCCTTAACCCACCCGGCAGTTATGATCTGATTCTTTTCAACTTTTCTAGAGCACTGTGGACAAACTTATTAAGAAGACAAACCTAGCCCTTGTGGTTGGGACAAACAGCTGGAGAGAGCAGTTTATCGAAGCTATCACCGTCAGTGCTGGTGAGTGCCTTTCTCTGCATATTTTAAGTTATAATGTTCCAAGCTGACTTTTTCTACTGTAACCACTTGGTCTATGTCAAAGCCCCACAGACTGTCCGTAATAAAATTACAAGAGAAATAAATGTATTTGTAGCATATATGCACATTTTGGCGACGAATGTAGACTCTCTAGACGAAGCAAATGTCTTCAAAAAGGACATTCTTCTTCATCTGCATTGTGTATTTCTCTCCGGAAGTAGACAAGAAAAATTTAAAGCCTTCTGTGTCTTAACTCATGGATAGCCAGTCATGGGGCTTTGTCTGGAAAACTCCCTGAAAGCAGGAGATGTGGCCAAGTGCAGGTCACAAAGGAGGCAGCGAGATCGTAGGGGAGACAGGATGCCATTAAGACCCTTCACCACTGCCATCTGCATCGTTTTACACCCTCTTCAACAACGTCTAACAAAAAAGTGTTTGCACTGGTTCTGGAAGTGAAAATAGAATCACGTTCTGTGTCTTCCTGTACAAGCAAAGTACAGAGTTTTATTTAGGAAAATCCTACAAAACGAAGTATGTCTCAAACTCCAGGAGCCAGACACCTGCGGGAATTCAATTCAGAACGAAGTGTCCCTTTCCTGCGTCGTCAAACCTTGTCCGCTCTCTGTGTGATTGTATAAAGGCAGAGGAAAGGCCCTCTCAAAGACGCAGGAGAGCAACACTATCATGGGATTTTTTTGTTTTCAGTTCTTCTGCTTCATTTCCCCCTGGTTCTTTCCTTTAAAGATCCCCGCAGGCTCATCTTCTGCTGTTGCAGCTAATGAACAAAGCTAGAATTTTCTAAATAGTGATTCCCAGACTGTAAAATAGGGAAACAGCGTCACTAGCCGTTGGGTCATGACTTCTAATACAACCCCCTCTTTCCAATCTGCCACAGAATAATTTGACAGCTCTCCCAAATGCTGTGGGAACAGAGGGTGGTAAACATGTCTGTGCCTATTTATTATTAGTGCTGTTTATAATCACACTTCGGTTTCTTGCAATTGAGTATACAGTGGAAATTTATGAACATTAAATGATGAGTAATTGCTTAGGGGAGTAGATTTGGGATTTACACATAAATTCTAATGGGGGAGGGGAAAACTCCCTGTCTTGGTCCATTTGGACTGCTGTAACAAAATACCATAGAGTGGGGTGGCTTATGAGCTACAGAAGTGTATTTCTCACAGTTCCAGAGGCTGGAAGTCCAAGATCAAGGCACTGGCAGATTTGGTGTCTGGTGAGAGCCTGCTTCCTGGTTCATAGACGGCTGTCTTCTTGCTCTGTCCTCACGTGGGGGAGTGGAGAAGAGAGCTCACCAGGGTCTCTTTTACCAGGGCATTAATCCTATTGATGGACTTTGCCCTTATGATCTAATCATCTTTCAAAGTTCCCATCCTCATATACCACCATATTGGAAAATAGGTTTCAATATATAAATTTGAGAGGGCCACAAACATTCAGTCTATAGCACTCCCTCATACGGCTTATGTTTTTCTATAAATCTAAGATTAGTATCTGAGGCCTGAGCTATACTCCCTCACCACAGAGAGAAAAAAACTAAAAGGACAAAGGTAACTTGAATAAAAAACTGTTGACAAGGCCAATGGTAGAAATTAAATGATATGTTATATAACTATAATGTAAAATAAATATTACATAAAGTATAATAAATATATAATATAAAAATAAAAATATTTTAAAATAACCAATTATTTCATGGGCTTTGACGTATCAGAATCAAAACATTAAAAGCTGCATAAGCCTTAATAGACCATTTCTAACAGTTGCCAGGTTGCCTTTGGCTGCAAATATATGAGCATTTGTATGATGGTCATGTGCTGAGCATCATTCATTCATTTTTTCTGAATGTCAGTCATTGCTCTTAGGATATGCCAGTGAATAAAACAGACAAATATTCTTGCCATGTGAAGCTTACCTTCTAATGCAGGAGACAGCAAATAAGTAAAATAAGCAAAGAGGTCAAATAAAGCGTATGCAAGATGGTGAGCTTATGTTGGAGAGCAACAAAGCCATGGAGGGAGACAGGAAGTGTGTGTAGGGGACAGGAAGTGTGTGCAGGGAGACAGGAAGTGTGTGTAGGGGGGCAGGAAATGTGTGTAGAGGGACAGGAAGTGTGTGTAGGGGACAGAAAGTGCATATAGGGGGCAGGAAATGTATGCAGGGGGACAGGAAATGTGTGTAGGGGACAGGAAGTATGTATAGGGGACAGGAAGTATGTGTAGGGGCTGCATTGGATGATAGCCAAGAAGACACCATCCATAGACACATAGACGCTGAATTTGCTCTTCTAGCAGTGGAGTGGTTTTGTGTGGGTTTGTTCATATGTTTTTGTAACTCTCAGGGACCAAGGTCAACATTTTGTGGCCAGTCTACAACAATGGAAAAGGGAAGTTTTAAGCAGTGAGAAAGATTATGCTGCAAAGCAGGCCAAAGTTGTGTATTTACTTCTGGTCAGAATAGATATACAGAGAAACAGTTTGAAAGATGTTAAGACTTTCTGACTTTAAAGGGGAAGATTATGGTTTGCCAACACTTTGTTATGTTGAATTAAATCCTCTCAAAATCTCATGAGGGAGGTATTGTCATGCTCCTGACCTTCTGGAGAAAGAATCTGACCCTCAGCAAGGCGACTTGGCTTTAGGATGTAGCCCAGAGCCCTGATATACCAAAGACTAGTCTGACATGCAGTCTGCCGCCCTTAGAGAGAGAAATTTCAAAGTGAGGAAAATTGCTCCTCGCTTCTGGCTCCATGAGTGATGCTGGCCTTGTCACCTCTCCTGGTGCCATGGTTTCAGCACTCAGATAATGGGATTAATTCCCACTCATATCCTTTGAAGAACTGATAATGAATGACATGCAAAACCTCCCATGTGTTCTTATCTGTCAGGCAGTATATTGTGTTTTATGTTTCTAAATGACTGCTTGGGAATAAGACAAAATTGCTTAGATGTTGGCAGGCTGCTGGGTAAATTGATCTTATTTACAATTTTGAGACAAAAATATCAGAAAAGCAAACCCATACTTTATAGGCAGTAAATTACACGAAGGGCCGTTAGAAAGCTCATTTTCTATTTGTCATTATGATTAAATATAAGCCTCCAAAGAATGTTAATGTTCTTAGATTGTTAACTAGACAATAAAACTTGTAAAGCAGCATTTCTTGAAAACAAACTTTCATTGGATTTTACAATTTCATGGCTAAATAGTTGAGAATCAGAAAGAGTTGCCTTATTAAAAATGTTAAATTGCTTTTAAATGGCACTACAGAGCGGTTTTTTCCTTATGCAATTTTCTGTGCAAAATTGAGTCTGTATATCTTGCTCAACAAAAATAATAATTTTATAGATAGGATTTTGCTTCTCTTTCCCACTGGTTACATTTAAGCTCATTTCAAGGTGACCTCCAGCAGTCGTTTTGTTCCCCTGCCTTCTCTGCACTTCATAGTTCAGTACCTGGGCCTCCTATGACCACAATATTTCTGTAAGCCCAGTTCTTACAGTTCAATATCTGAAGAGTTAAAGGACTTATAAGACTCCTACGAGGAGGAAGAGGGGAAACAGGCATGTCCCGGCAGTTCTGTCTTTTCCTGGATGGAATACCAGGAGCGCTGCTTGACAGAAATTTGCGAGGCAAGTCTAGTGTCATCAAGTGCTTTAGATGTGCCAGCAAATGCACTTCCGAGGGAAGCCAGCATTCACTGCATGCCCAGTTTGGATTTCCTCCACTTCTGCCTTTTCCCTAGGGTCTTCACCAGGGCAGAATGGAGGCTTGGCTTTAAGAAATCATGAATAATGGCCTATGAGGCAGGTGTGTCAGGGAAGAGGGCAAACATTAGCTGGCAAAGAGAGCCAGGATGCCAATGCCAATTCCACAGCCACCACAGCATTGCTCTTCCCAGCAGCCTTGGGCTGGTGAAGTGAAGGACAGCGGGATTGCAAGCCTGGCTTTACAGTCAGATGCGGGTTTGTGTCCCAGACCAGCAAAAACTCTCTGTATGACTCTAGGCACAGCTAAATCTGGTTCCCTCATGTGTAAAGTGGAGATCACTGCTTCTTACTCAGGGGGTTGCTCTAAGCATTAATCAAGGCAGCTCATATTTTCATGAGGACTGTCTGTGCATTTGGAAACCACGGCTGGTTGTCCGGGAGGCAAATCATCTTAAATATTCTACAATAATATATGACCAAATTTTGTGGAAATGTAGTCAAGTCAGTTTAATTACTAGAAAGGCGAAGTGATGAAAAACCCTGGTTGACCTTTTTAGTTTGTAGTATTACCCATGCTGTTTTATAGATAAGAAAACTGAGATTCAGAGAAACAATGTAACTTGCTCAAGAAGCCGAAGCTGGTAAATGTTAGTGCTGGGGTGCCAGTCAGCCTGGGGTTCTCTCCTGTGTGAGGAGTGCGCAGAGCTGCTATGCCTGAGACCTGGGGGCACACCCACACTGCACACACGCACACAGAACACCTGTCTACACAGACACACAGGTGCACACAGCCATGCATGTGTGTGTGCAAACATATGAACACATGAACACACAGAGACACACATACACAAACATGTGTGCATACACACAGATCCACAGAAAAAGGACAGGCCCTTTACATAGCTTGTATGTTTATTCATTTGGATAATTGAGCTGCAGGTTGAAATATGAAGGGTTTTTTCCCTTAGTGTTTGTTAAATCTCCTTAAGGCCAGTTCAGATTTCCTTAAGGGAAGATGCCAGCCAATTGCCTAAAGACCAGAGGGAAGTGTTTGTTTTCCTAGGTGCATCTGTAGCCTTCTCCTACCTCGTAGCTTGTGACGTGCTGTCCAGAAAGTCAACACACTGCCCTCCCTTTTACCTGATCATTTAAAACATCCAGCACTAAGGCTTTTTCTCCAGTTCTTTTACTTTTGACATCAATTTTGCATATCTGGCGTGGTATCCATTGGCATTCTCATATTGAAGGAACAAG